AATACACACAAACACAACATACCCACACACAGATACAGAGAAACAAAAAAGAAGAACGTCAAAGATACTTTACCAATCCTGCCCATTGAGGAGGTCTGACTCCCACACTAATTCGTTTCACTATGCAAACTGATGTTTTAATACTTCTGCTTCGTTTAGTTTTATGTTGCAATATTTTCACCGAACTATGAAATTATAACAACGAGCGCCATTAGTCAAGATTACAGGTTATAATGTCAGACGTCAATTGGATTACAAATTATAAACGCTCAACGCGCTTGCCGTTACACTAAATAATAGGTAAAGTTACATTTTTGACATAAACAAATTGTACATTTGGAGTTGGCTATGGCGATGCTGAAGCCAAGTCTGAAGCTGATGAGCATACAAGCTCTTGTCTGCTAACATTAAATTTATGATTTATAAGTGACTTTTTGCACATTATACATTTATGTAGACATTAGTAAGGCAGGATGAATAATTGCCGTAATCCATGTGTGTGCATGTGCATGTCGATTTATGTATCCTAATCGATATATAATACATATTTTGTCATTACTTTAGATGTATTTAGCAAGATATATATCACAAAGATTAAGTTCACCCAAAACTGTAATGCTACTTCCGAAAAGTTGTGAACATTCTAGATAATAATTATTTGTGTGTGACATTCTGAAGTACATATAACTACTTTTATATTTATTTTACCATAAAAATGCACACAATACTTTCTGAGTATTTATACAAAAAATTTTTTATTTCTTCTTCTTTTAAGTGACTTCGCTTCGAACGCGGGCTAACAAGATTAATATTTTTGTTTTATCAATAAATTCGCAAATCTATTATTTTCCACGAATTTTTAAACCACGATATCCTATGTCTGTCGGGGTCTCGTCTTTCTTGAATTCTGGCTTCAATGATTAGTAGACCGTATTTGTTTCAGTGTCCTAAGATATGATCGAAGTATTCTAGTTTTTGCCTTTTTTGAATTCTGGCTTCAATGCGTAAAAGTATCCAACTATTTTTAACATATATCGATCACATCACATTGCGAAGTATTCAAGTTCATACATCGACAGAACGGTTAGCGTCCATGCTTCTACAATATTATCTATGTACAAAAATATATCCCATTTCAACACATTTATTCTCAATGTAAAAGAGCTCTAGAAACTATAACAATTTTTCACCTATCTAAAAGCGATTCCCCTGTTCCCGATTTGTAAGCTGAATAGATAAAGCAAAATTAATAAAAACTCGGCTACATTTATTTTAAAATTCTGAATATTAACGAAAGAAAGAGGGTCAACATATTTATTTAATTTCTTAAAGATCTTTTAAGTAACTTTTCTGTTCATAGAATAATTATCCCTTCAAAAGTGTTACTTGAACACTTTTATAATCGTAGAATTTTAAATCCTTCGACTCGTTCAGTTTTACTTAACCGCCTGCTAAACGGTACAAAGATCCTAATCACCATTGCATCTAAAACAAAATTTATATATAAGTTGAGCATATTACAAAGCCCTGCTGGTCTCCGGCTTAATCATAAATTAGTTGTTTTATTCCATTTGATTAATTGAAATCAAGTGCATGTCTTTAGTTTAGATAGAAATTTGATTAATTGTGTAGGATTTCTCAAAATAAGGTAGTTAAGGCAAGAATGAAGTCGTTTGAATTTGATTCTTATATTAAATTTGGTGTCAATATATCAATATCAACTGATGTACAACATGCCCAGAAAATCAAAGTTTTGGTGCTGAAATATAGTCGAGTGACAATAAGTGGCCTCGTTGATGCTGTTAAGATTTCATTTGGATCTGTGTACACAATTCTAAAAGCCGCTTTATTTATTTATAAACTTTTTCTTTAATTGTTTATTCAAAAATTGAATGTTATACGATCATATAACAATTATAATATTTCTAACATAATGTTTTTGATATGCTCTATGTCTCTAGCAGTATGCACCAAGTCTCTAATCGTTCTTAACCCAGTTCAGTGTCAGATGTTCCTCAACCAAGACATTTGTTTTCTTCCCTTACCGCGTTTGCCTTCAATTCTGCCTTCCACAATCAGTTGCAGCAGTTCATATTTTGGACCTCGGATGATATTACCAAAATACCTCGTTTTTCTTATTTTTTATAGTTTTTTGGAGTTCTTTATCTCTTCTTAATCTTGTTAGAACCTTTCCATTCGAAACTTTGCCCGTCCAAGAAATCTTCAGAATACGTCTGTAGCACCACATGTCAAAGGATTCCATTTTGTTCATTGTTTGGATTTTTAAAGTTCAAGATACCAAGCCATAGAGTAGAATGGACCAGACATAGTATTTAACGTAGCGAATACGTAATTTGATGTATTCTGAAGGAATTACTAGCCATCTCTATTCGACATTTGATTTCTTGATCTGATGTCCTCTCTTCATTTAGCCAGCAAGCAAGGTATTTAAACTTAGCTACTCGTTCAATCGTCGTTCAGTTAATGTTTAATAGCCGTTAAAAGCAGACAACCTCGTGAATTTTTTCGAAAATGGAAAAAAGTGAATTTCGTGTGCTGATTAAGCACGATGGCCAAAATCCACGAATTGAGATACGAACTGCTACCCCATCCAGCATATTCTCCAGATTTAGCCCCCTGCGGCTATTTTCTATTTCCAAACCTAAAGAAATGGCGAAATTCACTTTTTTCCATTTTCGTAAAAATTCACGAGGTTGTCTGCTTTGACCGGCTATCGAACACCAACTGAACGACATAGAGTGCTCAAAATTAGAAAGTTGCCCACTGGTAGATTACAGCTGACGGCAGCACTGTTGCATTTAGAGTAACTCCGCGGGAAATTCAAAAAGTCACTGACTTATCAAACCACCCTCGTATTATAACTAAAAAAAATTCATTGGTCACTGGTAAACATGTAATGCCAATAACATATATTAGTCGTATATATGAATCGACATGAGTTATTTATTTTTATATTGTATGGTATACCCATTTCAAAATAACAAAATTTATTATATACATCGAATCAGTACCAAAAAACTATTTGCCGACTATGTAACAAATTAACAAATTAACATGTAACAAATTAAAAATAATTATTTACGATTATAACAAAATACTTAACCTTTTATTAACTACAATATTTATTATTTATTTTATGGATTTATTGTCTTTTTGCTGGGACTTACAATCTACAAATGAAATCGTAAAGATGTGAAGTAAGTGTTGTTTAGAAAAATGACTTGAAAAGACTATCTGCGGATTTAGTTTTAAAGTCCACTTAATAGAATTGCATACAATTATGAGAATCCTTCTCTCGTTTTAGCATCTCAAAAGCGAATCAAAAATTTATGGTTCTTATGCTCCTTTCAGAGTGAATTTCGTGTTTTGTCATGTAATGAAGTATTTTGAGGTTTAAATCGAAATGTCAATTATGTTGTCATTAATTGGGCGTGTAAAATGCATTAACATTATGATAGGTGACATTAATTTACATACAATTAGGGGGTGTGTGTGTGTGGTAAATGTGCACAATTATAAACAATCACCGGCACAAGTGTACTTAATCCCACTTTGACTGATGATGGCGCTGTTAGTCCTTTGGCACCGAATTGCATTAGCACTCATGCTCCGTGCTTAGCACTGATTGCAAATTATTCCATAAGTCCGCAAAGGGTTCAAACTTTTAGGAATTACTCTATTGAGTTGTTAGTTTATGTTTTAATCGTGTCATCTTCTGTATCTCAGGTGTGTTACATATGTATATATATGTATATATATATGTGTGCATGTTGAATTGATAAGGAAGCCATTATTCAATCAGTTACAACTTACGTCCTTGTATGGGAAATGCATAATATTAGCGGTAAAATATATTGCTTAAGATTGCCTAATTAGATATTTTAAGTTGGAATGGGGAGAGCTAATTGAAAGGTTAAAATGTCATTAGTCACTTAATTGTATAAATTAATTCAATTTATAAAACTTAAGTGTCAGAAAGTATGTCTTAATTTGTATCTACAAAATTTGAATCAAATGCAAACTCTTGATAAAAAGATTTAGAAAGTAGACGAGAGATAAAAATTAGTTTTTGCTTTCGAAATCGTTTACATTAATATCATTCCACTTTCTGAGAATTATTTGTTTATTAAATTTGATTTTCTTCTAGTCTAATTGTATTATTTAGTAGTAATAGTAATATAAAAAATACTCTCGAATGAGCTAGTTAACAGGTTAAGTGGTTGTCTTTTAATTACATACCTTAAAATGTTTACATATAACTTAAGACAAATATAATCCATATAATATGTGTATAATATGTACAATAAAATATCTACTTTGAATATTTATTAAATTTTAAGAGAAAATTATTTCATTAAAACCTCGATAACATGCATATATAGTTTTGCTACTCATCGGGACTTATTAGAATACTAGAGTGCGAAGTACTGATAATTAGTATCATTGAAAGCACAATGCAGCCTTCCTAATGCATGAGACGAGATTGCCTTTTTTAATTGCCAAAGCCTATTTGAACTCTTTTTGCATACGACAGACATTTCACCCCATTTTTGCATAGATCGTAAATCACAATTAGGGTTCGAAAAGCAACTGAGAAGGGACAGAATTCTTTAGCATACGCCATCATTTCACCATTTACCGCATTTGGAGTGGATGTGTTGCTTTTGCTGTGTCGAATAATTTTGAAAGTGTCACATTTTGTAATTAATAATGCGTTCTGCTTAATTAATAAAAACAACATAAAAACAACAAATCTTTTTTCAAAACGATTATTTTTGTGGTTTGAGGACTACAGTAAATAAATAATTTCTTTAATAAAAAAAGCCAACTGCTTCTTTAAAAATGCTTTATTAATTGTAATAATTTTTATTTTTCTCTATCATTTCAGCATAAATATCGTAGGAATCTCAAAGCAAATGGCGTTGCCCCATGCCCATAAATCACAAATCCCTGCAAGCTTACGCGCACAACACTTTTGAGTGCGTGTGGAGTCCTAACGACGTTTGCATTAGCGTCGGTTGGAAAGCAGAATAACAACAGCAACAACAACAGCTAAGGAACAGCCATGTCCAGTCATTCCGGTACAATAGGCCGCAAACGCGGTGGCAGCAGTGGCAGCGAATATTATTTTAATGGAGGCGAACAAATGCGGCGGCAGCGCTCAGCCGAATGGCATAGCCGTCATGGATACAGCAGCAGTGAGGATGAGTATCAAAATACGGGCCAAGCATCTGCGTTTGATACCCAACTGCTGGCACAGCTGCTGCTGCAAAGTCAGCAATTGGCAAGTAAGTTATGAGGATTAGTGCTTTGCAAGTTAATGAATGCGCGGGGGTAAATTAAGTAAAATTCTATTGCACACTTGTGCGTCTTGTTCGTGGACAGTCAGTGGACTTAGGTACTACTTTTTAAATGAATGGAAATAGTGCTAATCTGATTAATTAAGGGATTTGCGAAATGTGCAAAAGTGGTAATAGAGTAGAACTGGGTAGTGGGGAGTAAAAACCAGATAGAAATAAATTTTCAAAATCAATAAATTAACTGAAATGGTCTTAAACATCGAAAATAGAAGTGCTGATGTAGCTTGGATATAAATTATGCGATATTTTAGTAGGATTTAAAAAAGTAGTGCTTACTTAAGTTTGTGTTTTTTTATTATTTTTTTATAACAATTTTTAATTATTATTTTGTTTTATTTGAACAGATATGGATCGCTATGGCTCTGATTGTGACAATGAAGAGATTCCTGCTTCACTATTAAGTGACTATACAAGTACGAATCGCGAGAACAGTAACGTACACCTATTAAATCAACAACTGCAACAAAGTACCGGGCTTTGTTCGCCAATGAAACAACAGACTGCAGCAATTGCAACAACTGCAATGCTAACTACAACAACAACTGCCAATAGTAAATATCAAACAAATGCCAATCTAGGACTTATACCCTCCAATACTCGGAGTACAAATCCATTTCTTAATACAAAATATGATTCACAATCGAATTCGGACTCATTGAGTGAGCATTTATCATACTCGGGTAGTGCAGCTATGCTGGATCGTCTACAAGCAGCCAGCGACTTCAATGCATCAAACGCCGCAACAACACTGAACTCTGCTTATCTAATGCCAAACAGCACAACTGCAGGCAGTTTAACACCAACCATACGCGAAACCACAGCACGTACCCATCGCTCTAAAAGCGGTCGCACTCTTAATCGTGCCAGCGGTATGACATCATCTAGTAGTGGCACATCATCAACCGGTAACGCGTCCTCATCGACGGCTGCAGTAGCTTCCGCCGTTGCTGCTGCTATTGCTAGTCGTACCGAACGCGAAAAGCTCAAATTACAGCAAATTCAAATGGAACTACGCGAATTCGCACAGTCTACAGCAGAAAGCTCCGGAGCTTCAGCTTTGGGTGTCGCAGATTTAGACGAATTCGGTGGCATACCGTCTGGTGGTGAGTCCGAACCACCACCAGAGCCAGCTCCGCCGGAAATTCCGCCGCGTACACAGTCGCTGTTATTATCGTTTCGTAAACATTCGGACTACAAACTTAAATACGAAGAAAAAGGGGACCAAAAACATGAGGAATTTATTCCAACAAGTCAATTACAACAACAATATCAAAAGGGTGAGTTGAAAAGCTTTTGTCTGCTAAGTGTTAAGTCACAGAAATTTTATAATACTGGAAAGAGTTTCGCATAAAGCTTTTAAAAGTTCTTACCATAGTAAGGACATTTTACTGTAAGCTTTTGTGAACAGACATGCACTGTTATGTTATGGGGAAAAGTAAAAAAGCAACAAAAAGAACAAATGTTTTTGTTGTCTTTATTAAAAATTTTTTTAAACTTAATTTTTTTTTCAATAGTACGTTTTTTTCAGTGTTAAAAACAGCACTTTTTATTAATATAACAGAACCGTTAATATAACAGAACCGTTATTAATATAACATAACTGTTAATAACATTTTGTTAGCAACAAGCTTGAAAATTAAATAAAACTTTAAAAGCTGCTGTACAAATAATCAAAAATTGTTTAAATATGAAAGAAAGCTTTTTTTTCTTTTAAAGAACAAAAGAAATTCTTTTAAAGAACAAAATGCCTATTTTACAAAAGCGCCAAATAATATTTTATTCATTTATTTGTTCCATTTTAAGTAATAGTACTTTTTGAAAAGTTAATCCAATTTTTATATCTAGCATATTTTAGTTATTTTGATATAAATTCCAGAAAATCATTTTTACATTTTTTTTTTCAGATTTCTTAACTACTGAAAACTCGCGATCAAGTGAGAGTCAATCAAAGTCAATTGCTTCCAGTGATTCTCAGAGTCAACAAGGGTGAGTGACAAACTTTTCTTAATTATTCTTTGAAGCATTAGGTATTAAAAAAACATATCACCTGTATTGGTGCCTCTTAAACAGATTGTAGTTATTTATTTCTTAGAAAAATACCAACTTTCTTATAAAAACACGTCGTATTTTGTCCAACTGAATCAATAGAAGTATTTAGCCTAAAGTAACCAAGTTATTGAAAATATAATAATGATCAATATTTTTCACCCTATTGAACTGACCAAGGAGCGTCTCTTTAATAACACTGTCCAGTTACTTCTTGAAAAGTTTGTGTTTATTGGAGTACAATTGCTAATTTTTTTATACTAATATCGTGTTACATGTTTACTTTTTTACATTTATAACATTCATTTAAAATAATTTTAGGAATCATAATTTCTAAAAACTTCTGTCATCATTTAACGGTTATACCAACATTTTTTAGTAAATATATTTTAGCTTAGTAAATATATTTCGTTATGTACGTCCAGCAAATCTGTTGTCTGTTAATGTTAAATGATTAGGTAGTATTGCTTACCTAATAAGAATGTGATGAATTATACTACATTTTAAGCTTTATACAAACTATATATAATTTATACATAGTTATATAATATATATAATATATGTATATTTTAAATATATATAATCAACAATTTCATATAATTTTATCAAAATTTTGTTTTAAGTATCAAAACTTATATGCAATAGTTTTAAAGAAAACGGAAATTGGAAAACATTTCATTTAGTCTAATTAAAGTACGTCCATTAGATTTATTGGTTGGTGATTCTTTTTTATTTCTAGTGTAATATATTTTTATTCCTTATTTTTACAACTAGACAGATGAGATGCTTTCATTTTTAATACAACTAAAAATATTTGAATTGCTATAAGGAACACATAATCTTAATCACCTTGAAGACTAAATCGATTTAGTGATATCAACCCGTCTGTCATTCTGACATTCTATCATCTGTTAGTATTTTTATTAGGTAATCGATAAGAACTTTCCAATAGTTTCATGTGAATACAGACAGAACAAATTAGGAAATGTAGTATGTGAAGATATTCAATTAAATAATAAAATAAAGTGTAAACAGTTCCATGTTTATCGAAATTTCATACAAAATTATCCCACGTGGGTTAATTCCGTCTGTCATCCGTTTGTCAGTTTCAGTTTTCGAGTTATTGAAATGAAATTTTCGGCTAGGAATATCTGAATCTTACTCAAATATGTACAATATAATTATAATAGATAATCTGATATTTTTAAAGATGTGTATAAAAATTAATATATTAAAATGAAGATAAAAAGTTAAGAAATAGAATAAAATTAATTCGTAATATTGTATATAAGGTACTGCGGTTAACGTGGATCTAATTTTTTTATTTTATTTTAATGATAAATAAGACTTGAAACATAAAAATAACACTTGTTTGTGAGTAGGATATTGAAATTCGATAACATCGGAGCTATTCTTTTTCTTATTTCTTTTTTTTCTTGGAAATTATGTAGTTATGTTATTCCCATTACCTAGTAATTCTATTCTAGGCCTACCTTTGTTAACCGATCTTATGTATTATTTTATTTTTTTGTAGTTAACTTTGCTGAACTAGTTTCTAACGATAACTTTTCATTTCAGTAGAAACGCTGTATCTATAATAAATATCTTTCGATAAATCGAATCAATCACCAAAGGTGATTAAGGATTTAATTTTGGGAATTCTTGTTAATTTTTGAGTTTATTGATCATTCCAGCAAAAGTTTCTCCGCTTCGTTCTTCTGAAGTATTTTTAACTAATAACATTCTTAGTCTATTATATGATTGTGGAAACCAAAATGCAATTTCAAATAAATAGATGCGAAAAATTTTGTATTTAACCAATTGTTGCAGAGCAGAACAATATCGACAAATACATGGAATGCACTCCAGTACATATTTTTGAGAATAAAATCGTTTTGTATATTGCGAAATTGTATTTTCCCTTTGTATTCTTGCTTTGTTGCACAATTGCCAAGGAAGTAAAATGGCAAAATAACTAAAAAGATAACCTTTCTTGCCTGACTTCTACTTATACTTCTACTTACATTGGGGTATTGTTGAGAAACATTATAAATTATTGCAATCATATAAGTTACATGATTGATACGAACTTCTATTGTAGTTCGCATTTCAATTAAAGTTAATACTGAGTTTATAGTACTTCATGTGTTTTGTATTGTTGAAATATGATTTGCCAAGCTTATGGAGTTATAGATTCACTGAGGGCAGTTATTTGCAATATGACATATTAAAAATACCAGATGACAGAGGAGCTGAAAATGCACTTCACAAAAAGAATAATAGTTTAGCTTGATATTGTCGCAGTTTATCAGACAATTTCGTGTGAATAAATTGAATGCTTGTACCTACACGTGCTATGCTCGACATAATGCAAGGAAGCTAAACCCGTTGCCACGCTCGCATTCGGATTCGAACTTGCGTTTAACGCAAAGCCCAGCATAATTCAACTTAAATGCAACATATTTCAATGGCATGTCAGTTCGCTATCAACCCAAGCCCTGCCAAGCCGTTTCATTCATTCAAAGTATTGTAGTATTGTAGTGGCAATGAATTTCTCAGACACGTCTGCAGAAAAACATGCAAGCGCAGCAACATACGTAATGTGCAAAAAATGCTAAGTATAAAAACAACAGACACTACTACTACTACTACTACTACTTACCTACCTACTACTGCCCGAGGAGAGGAGCAACGCGTCATAACCACAACAAATGACTACAACAGGCAGCAAGTGCAGTCAGTGCTCACAGAAAGCCTTAACCTTAGCCAAGGGATTACGGACGATACGACTTTTTAGTTTTGCTCCTGCTATTGGGAATGCTGATGCGGATGCTGGAGTGGCTATGCTGCTACGATTTCTTCAGCAACGTACACAATAAAAACGTATGAAATCACAGCCGAAAAGAGTAATTCATTACAATAACACCACGAATAAGCAATAAAATTCGAATGTTTCCACTTGTGACTCGCCTTCGATTACACATTTTGGTAGTATCCACAACCTGACTACAAGGAAACACATAGTTGGCCATTATTGCTTGATGTATCTGATATTCATGCTCATTTTCTTAGTCGTAGCCCGTCGATATAAACATATTTACATGAGAATGCGATACGAGTGAGTGGGTATGTGTAGAATGGCATTATTTTATATTTTGAGAAATGCTTCCACATCACGTCGCCAATGCAATGATGATAATGCGCTTCGATGAGTAACATATGCAACGGAAACATGAAATATGTAGTTCGGCTGAAACTCTTGCCAGCCATGAAATTGGCTATTTCACGTTCCTCTTCCTCTGCTTCTGCTCTACGAATTAAAAATTTCTTTCTTGCTTTTTCTTTCTGGATTGCAGTTTATCTAAAATTTGTTAAGTAGCGGGCTACCCTTTTTTGTTTTTTTGTGCATAGATAGCGGCCTTTTTATGTTGTATTTTTTTATGACTAATATTAATTTTCAAGTCTTCTTTAAACTCTTATCGCAGCCTCATTTGAGCGGTTCTGCCTCTACTTAAATTAAAACTTGATTTACATGCTATCGCACGTTTATTTACATTTTATTTTCTAATCGGTCAATATTGCCGGAGTTAGGACATTCGTTCTTATGGCATAATCCTAATTAGATTTTCTAAATTGTATTATATTAGCCGGCGCTGTCATGTCGCTTAGTGTCGCTTCTTTATTTACTCGTTTATGTGCCCTCGTTACTCGTTCATTGCTGATGTGTGTTGGCTGATTCATCATGCCAGCTCGACGATTTTCAATGCAGCATCAAATAATACTACTTAATAAGTTTTCAATACTCTCACCCCCTGTTTAAAACTAATCGGTTTTTGTTTGCTTTAATTCCATCAATAATATTCCATTCTTGCCTTTTTATATGTTGATCTATGGGTAAGCATTCTTATGGCTGTTGTTGGTGCAGTCGAATGTGTCCATTTACCCTCAGCCGCTATTGTTTTGCAGTAATCATCCACCATACTTCCATAATTCTAAGTACCGCTTTCGTACTTCTATTGGCTTAACTACTACGAGTAGAGCGCATCGCTTCCTCTTGGCATATCCTTCGCATAAATCATCCGTAAACCGATAATAATGTTTGCCAATATGCAATGGAACGATTTTCATTCGTTTCCCAGCATTTCGCAATATGAATTTAATGCGGACAAGTGTCTAAGCGAGAGTTTGTTTTCTTTTCAAATCACTTGAAATGCTGAAGTAATTAACTCAAGATTTGCAATGATATTCAAAACTCACAACTACGCAAATATTTTAAAAGAAGAGGTTTTCTCTTCTCCATTGTGGGTAAAAATGTGCCAATTATCGCAGATGTGCGATGTTTTCGTTTAAGTTTTAAGCAAAATTTAAAGATAATAAAATTTTTAATTAATTCAAGAGTAAGTGCTGAAATCCAAAATAATATTTCGAGAAATCTGAGTTTCTATAGACGATATAAACAGCTGTATATAACCTATATATATGTATGTAGTAGGTACAAGTTGTTAGTTTAAGCAAAATAGAAAAATGTCTTTATTATCTTGTTTTGTGATTATGCCGTTTATTTTAAAGAAAAACTTAGCAAGAAAGAAGAAAACGAAATCAATTTAAATAATTTAAAATAACGAGTACTTACACCAACGCATAACTCACTGAGTTACTTTTTTCGATTTTTTATTTAGTTATCCTCGCGGTTCATTGACTCTACCTACCACTTTAGGTACCTTGAAGTAATCTTTAACTTTATCACACTTCTCCTTGAAATTATCTTATTATCTCCCTTTGTAATGCAATATCGTTCTGAGTAATTGCTTTTTCATTTCGCGTGAACATGTGACGATCTGCACTAAACACACAATATTCACAAATAAATCGAAAAATAAAATCTTCATCAGCATTCACTTGGCCTATTAATTGAAGAAGAGAAAGAACTCGTTAAGAAAATTATATGTTTACATTAGCAGACGGCAGCATGTGGCGACGACGTGGGACAAATGAAGATGAAGATGCGTCTCGAAAAGCCGTTATCGCTTACCACTTACTTCTGGCAAGATACGTCGATGCCTTTCTAAAGTAATACCATACTTGCTGTACGCCTTGGCTCAATGAGACGATTCTGCGAGCTGCTACAAGAACCAACGCAATTCGGAGTCGGAACGCACAAAATTCTCGAATTATACGAATTCCCGCTGTTAGTCGAAGGTGTGCAAAAGTCATTCCATCTCTGCTTTCTTATTTCATTAAATTTCTGTTGTCTTCCTCACAAGTTTTGTGGTTTTTATTTATCAGTTTCATTAAAGTTTTTAATCATTTTTATCTCTCAATCTGTTGATACATTGT